ATTTAACTTAAACAAATAACAACAAAATGCATTTTTAATTACTATTATCAAATATTTATAACATAAATACATCCCAACTAAGTTGTCACCTACTTTTATTATAATTTATAGTTTAAGTACATTCCAACTAGATTGACACCTCCTTGACCCGTGAACCGCCCGCTCGGGTCACGGGTCGGCCCGCGGTCCCGGGTCGATCCGGGCCGATTTTCATGGGTCTGGCCGGCCCGTCCGTCTTGATACCTCTACTTAGGCCCATGTTAGTTAGACAGGTGGGAAGTTTGTCTGCTAGCTGAGAGTTTCTTCCCGCCACTTTTCTTATGCTTTCCCTTTGTGCCTATTTATTGTACAAACCATGTGTTTTTCATTTGAGATGAATAATATTTTCCAATTAATTCTTCGTTCTCTCCATTGTAATATGGTATAAGAGCAATATTGAGAGGAATTGAACTGCGTGATCTCTTCTGCATTTTGCGTCTGTCTTTTCTGCAATTTGTGATTTCTCTCCCCGTTCATCGTCTTCCATTCATCATCTCTCTTTGCATCCGTCTTTTCTGCGATTTCCTTTAATTCTACTCAAATCTGTTATATATTTTTTTTTCATTCCAATTCGAAATGGAGCAAACACTTCCAGTAATTGGATCTGATTCAAGTTCTGCTGCAATCAAATCTACCATTGATGAACCTTCCAACCCATACTTTCTACACCATTAAGATAGTCTTGGATTAGTGCTTGTAACTGAACAAATCACAGGAGAAAACTATGGCTCCTAGAGTAGTATTATGACCATTGCGTTGTCAGTCAAGAATAAACTTGCTTTTGTTGATGAATTTTTAAAGAAACCAGAAAGTGATGAAGCGGATCTAGTTAACTCATGGATTAGAAATAACAATATGGTGATATCCTGGATCCTCAATTCCGTCTCTAAGGATATATCGGCCAGTGTGATTTATGTTTCATCAGCACATGAAATCTGGAATGATCTCAATGAGAGATTTCAGCAAAACAATGGCCCTCGAATTTTTCAATTGAAGAAGGAAGTGATGAATTTGACGCAAGATCAGAACACAGTGAGTATGTTCTTTACCAAACTCAAAACTATATGGGAGGAATTGAGTAATTTCCGTCCAAATTGCAGTTGTGGAAAATGTGTTTGCGGTGGTGTTCAAGAACTAAATAAACACAACTAAATGGAGTACATCATGGAGTTTCTCATGGGGTTGCATGATTCATTTTCCCAAGTGAGAGGTCAAATTCTTCTAATGGATCAAGTACAAGGGATTAAAAAAGTTTTCTTGCTGATTTCACAAGAAGAAAACCATAGGAAAATACACACATCCTCAATTAGTACTGATTCAGATGGAGGAGCTGCATTTGCTTTCAAATCTGATAATGGCAGAGGAAATTTTAATTATAGCTCTCGCAACGGATTTGGCAATGGGAAGACAGATACTGTACACACTGCAAGTACCATGGACATTCTATCGACAAATGTTACAAAATCCATGGTTTTCCACCTGGATTCAAGTCTAGGCCACGAAATAATTTCCAATCATTTCCTAAAACTAACACTGTTAATCAAGTTTCTGTTGATTCACAGATGGGAGAGAAGCCTATGGATTTGCAAATAGGTGTTGACAAATTTATGTGGAATCTGAATTCAGACCAATATCAACACTTGATGACAATGCTATCTTCTCACCTGGCATCCACTTCACAGTCGATTTCAACTGATTAGGACAAAGCTGAAACCACATTTGCTGCAGGTATACATAACTCTAAATCAGTTAATCCAATTTTTTTATTCAAAGGACATATGGATTGTGGACTCAGGTGCCTCCAAACACGTATGTTCTATTGCCACTGCTTTCACCAATTTGAGGCATATTCCTAATTCAAGTTTTACTTTGCCTAATCACACACGTATACCTTGTTGATGTGATCTTAGGACCTGAATTGATGCTACATGATGTGTTGTTTGTGCCACAATTCAAGTTCAATTTATTGTCAATAAGTTCATTAGCTGCTAGATCTTACCTCAGTTTACAATTCCTTCATGATCAGTTCACCATCCAGGAGGTTTCTACCAAGAGGATGATTGCAAGGGGTAGCATCGTACAAAGCTTATATGTACTGAACACCAAAGCTTTTAATTCTGTTTCTACTACCTTTGTTAATTCAGTTTCAGCCAGTGTGCGGCATAACAGACTTGGGCATCTCTCTTTTACAAGATTAGATGTGTTAAAAGATCACTTGCTGTATGGTTCTGATATTTCGAATAAACATTTGCCTTGCTATGTTTGTCCCTTGGCAAAACAAAGGAGATTATCTTTTGAGTCACATAATCACATTTGCAATAAAGTTTTGATCTAGTACACTGTGATATATGGGGCCCCTATCACATGACATCTCACACTGTTTATAGGTATTTCCTGACATTGGTTGATGATCATTCTCGGTTTACATGGATTTATATGTTGAGATAGAAGTCTGATGCTATCAAGGTTGTGCAGCAATTTTTCAGCCTGGTTGCTACACAGTTCAATGCCACATTAAAACATTTAGTTCTGATAATGCAAATGAGTTATTACTCAAAGAATTCTTTGCTGAAAAAGGGGCCATTCACCAGTTCAGTTGTGTTGAAAGACCCCAGCAGAACTCTGTTGTTGAGCGCAAGCACCAGCATATCCTTAATGTAGTCCGTGCCCTCTTCTTTCAGTCTAGAATTCCCTTAATTTTTTGGTCTGAATGTGTACTCACATCAGTTCACCTAATCAACAAAACTCCAGCTCTTATTCTACGTCACAAAACTCCTTTTGAAATATTATATGGCAACAAAGCAAATTACTCCTACCTCAGGGTTTTTGGCTGCTTAGCATTCGCCTTCATACTCACTGCC